ATATCTATATTATAGAGTAACTGCAATGGACTGTTCAGTTTGTCTCCTGCCTTATATCCCATGTTCCTGGATAGAGTGCTGGATAGAGATGCATACACACACACTGAGATTTTCTACATTTGCATGTTACTCACTTAACATTTACTAAATATTCACTCAATATTCTTTACTAACAAATGCATTTGCAATATGTTCACCATTTAAGTGCCTTTATTAGCAAGAAAATGTCATATCTTTGATCATCAAAGTAGCCTCCTCTAGCAGTTATAACAGCAGAGAAAATTCGAGGCATTCTTTTCTACAAGAGACATTAGATACTTCTCTGTTTCATGTGATGAAACAGTTAACTAGTGCAAAGTACAGCCTAGAATGTGACTATGCCATCACCACACATCCAGGAAATAGGATGTCAGACATGCACTGTTACATACTCTTTCCATGTTATTCAGGAAACTTGTTTTGACTTATCTTTTCATTTATAGTTGTTCACTGAAATGTCCAATGCTTAACAAGACTACAAAGTCTGCAGTTTTTGAAATACATGGAAAAGTGCTAAAAACCTGTGCTGTGCAATAATGTTTGGCTGGGAGTGTATTATGGGAATGTTACACACCGACCTATGGCATGGTGGCTCAGGGGGAAGCGCTGTGGTCTCGGAGCTCCAGGGCTGGTGGTTTGAGTCTCAGCGTGAGTCTGCATGTTCTCCCCATGTTGTGTGGGTCTCCTAAAGATACTCTGCTTTTAAGCTGCAGTCCAAAAGCATGCAGTTGGGCCGACTGGCATTTCTCAAATGAAACAGAAAGTTGCCCGTAATACATGCCATGCAACAGGCTAAAGTTTTTTCCAAGCTCTGCCCTAAAATTCTGCCCTTTTCTGCTGTGGACAGGATTCCCTGAACCCTGTACCAGGATAAGTGGATGGAAATACTGTTTTTTATAATTTTTCCTGTTTTCAAATTTGTAGAAAAAAATATATATAGTATAGTATTGCAACATTTTAATGCCTAATATTTGTAATATCCAATATTTAATAATTGTTAGAAATTACTACAAATCATACAAATCAATCTAAAAATATTTTATTTACTCTGTTTTCTGTTGTCAGAAGCAACATATCCATATGAGCTGAAAAGGAAAATAAATTGAGTGACAGGATACAGTATTCAGTCCTTTTATGGTATTTAACCAAAACTTACATTTAAATGATTACTGTGTGAATGTCATGCCAGAAAACACTCAGGGGAGACCCAAGGGCCGAGTTCGCCGGCTTTTATTATTTCTGAGGCAGTCAAAGACAGTATCAAACAGCAGTGGCTTGGTTGGGGTCACAGAGCAGGTAAGTCATGAATCTGGGGAGATCAGTCCTGCGGAGATGACGCTGGACAGGGTTTGATGTTTGGTACGTAGCCACATGGATTAACAATACCTCACACTGAATGTGGGGCTGCTCAGGGTTATATAGAGACACACCAGGTGTGGCTCCCTTCCCGAAGGAGCCTGCATTCTCACGAGGAGGGTATGACAGTGAATACAATACTGTAGTACTGAGTAGTAATGAGCTGATATAGAAGCATAATAGAGTGAAAAAGTTGATCAAATCTCTGAGTTCCCCTGAACTCACTTGCAGATTAATGGCATGAAGCTGCACACAGGAAGCTGGTGCTGTCGCCTATTCCGAGGACGTCAGACATTGGGAAATTGCTCTACACCCGCCTCACTGCATCCTGTGAAAGGGAAACCTTCAGAGGGGCCTGAGACATCGGGGAGGGGGTCCAACAGAACGCAGCCCTCCATCATATCTGTGCTGGCGAAGCACCTGGAATAATGGATCTGTTTATTAAGTCTTCATTGCTAAATGATCAGGACCACGCACGGCCATATTAAGTGCCCTTGTGAGAGTAACGCCGGGAGGAGATGCTGCCCTTATCCGATTAGCTCCATAATGGCCCCGTGGTTACCCACGGCGGCTATCACAGGCTGCTAATCTGGGCCCGTATTCAGTTTCCCATGCGCTTTTCACGCTGTCACTTTCACAAGCTGTTGACTCCATTATCTGCAGAGAAGAAGAAAGTGAGGATTTATACAGGGGGGGGGGGGGGGGGGGGTAGGGAGAGAGGAACAGAGGAAAGGGAAAGGGACCTGGGGGAGGAGAGAATGAGAGATCTGAAGAATTACAAATGAGGCGTTGTTTACATAAGCGTCAAAATTCCTTTCGTCTTCACTCTAAATATTAAAAGTTCACTTTCACTTTTTCCATGGCTCCAATAGGCCATCGATAGGTAACAGTTTTTACCAAAATTCGTGTGAATTTTAATGCCTGCTGACTTATCATCAATACCTTTGCATATAGACACAATAAACCAAACATTGAACCATTACGATCAGTGATCTCTTATCTAAGGTGAGCAGTGTTTCCCAGCTCAGTTTCCAGTATAACAATGGCAGTTCCTCACAGAGCACAAGACTGTAAATGTAAGGGTAACCAGTTATATCTGACTGTTGTCTTTTGTTTGTGGGAGAGCATATGCATAATGACAGGAAGAATTCATTATGCATATCAAGGGCTAGACTGAAGCCTGCATAACACAAGTGGGAAAACTACAGTTCTGCTTCCTGGACACCTTTAACATCCACCAATGAGAACAATAAATTAGTGGCATGTCAATTAGTTAACAGTAATATATTAATAATAACAAGGCCCTCCGCATCTGCAGATTCAAACAACGGTGGATCGAAATTATTCAAGAAAAAATCAGAAAGTTCCAAAAAGCTAAACCTGAATTTGCTGTGTTCTGAGCACTACACTGAAAGTGAAATTTCGGTAGGGCTCACATCTCCATAGCTGGGGGACTGATTCCTGTCCCTGGCTGTCATTCCCTTCCACAGTCCAAATATGTGTGATTACAACAACTGGTAAAAATCACGGAGTCAGCACACTTAGAGGATGTTCACCCAGCTTTTTACTTCGTAGCAAATAAACAAATCACAGATATAACATGAAACAATTTTTGTTTGATAGTTGAACATTCTGACTATGTGAAATGTATCTCAAACAAATTAAACACAATTATTTTAATTAATGGCAGAGGAAACAAGTAGAGGAAGTAGAGGAAAAAAATATGGAATCACTCAATATCGAGATAAAATGCTCTGTCAGGCTTTCATGGTAGCCTGAATTCTCCAAGACATGGACTTCACATACATAAAATGATATTCTGCATGAGGCTGTTTCCAACTTTCTCGAATAGCAGTTGACAGATTAGCTTTGCAAGATGGAACCTTGTCATGGACCAAATTTTTACAATGCTGGTCATGTGATTTGAGTTCATATGCCTTTTCTGAAGAAAAGCTTTTACACTCTTTGCTCTGTGGCATGATGCATTATCATTCTGAAAAAATTACTTCATCACCAAACCTTTTTTCTATTGATGAAATGACAAAAGTATCCAAAATGTACACCAGTGCATTGACTGTTGAGGTAATGACTGCCATCTGCCCTGGTCCTTTACCTGACATGTAGCTCCATATCATAAATGACTGGGGAAATCTGCTTGTTTTCATCAGGCAGTCATATTCATGTTTCATTAGAACGGCACCAGGCAAAAGCTGGTGCAAATCCTTTGTGCAAATGGAGAGTCATGGTTCATTACTGAATATCACTTTCATCCAATCATCCATACTCCATGATTGCTTCTCCTTAACCCACTGTAGCCTTGTTTTGTTCTGTTCAGGTATTAGTGCTAGTTTTTGTCTTTTCTACATGAAATTTCCTTTAATTCAGTCAGTTTCTTAAAGTTCTGTTACAAACAGTCAGTTCTGTTTCCACCTATTTCTTTTGTTGTGCATTTACTATTTTCAAGGCATATTGCTTTGAGTTTTGTGTCCTGATGCTTTGACCTCTTCCTTGGTCTGCCTGTATGTTTTCCTTTTATAACCTTCCCAGTTTGCTTATATCTGCACCAAAGTTTAGAGACAGCTGACTGGGAACAGCCAGCATCTTTTGCCACACGTCATGCTGGATTTCCTTTTTGGAGGAGTTTCATAACCCTTCCCATTATTTTTGCTGTGGGGGCCACGTTCCCTTTCAATTAGCCAAGTCCACCAGTTTGCACAAGGTTTGTAAGCACTCTTAACTTCAGACTAATTTGCATTTTAGACTTGTGCCAGTATTTATTTTAGAAATGCAAATTACAAGATGATTCCATATTTTTCCCTCTGCTTTATCTGGATAAAACTATACCATTAATTAAAATAACTGTATTTCATTCGTTTGAGATAGCTGAACATGCTGGCTATGTGAAACCTACCAAACAAAAACAGTTTCATGTTATATCTGTGATTTGTTTATTTGCCACAAGATATAAAATCCGTGTGAACATCCTGTAAGCGGCGTGACTTTTTTGTGAGGGGTTGTGGGTGAACTGGCATCTCTCAATCACACATACTACGTGCCGGAGAGTATGCCCTGTGATGGACTGGCATTCCATTCAGAGTGTGCCACATCGTACCTTTCGCAACACAGGATCCATGTCCACTGTGCACTGGATAACCAAGGTGGAAATAGATGAAATGTTACTTTGACAGAAATTTGATAGTGTTGAAGGAAAAAGAAAACTGCCCAATCAGACTAGTTTTTCTTAAACCAGCAATGAGCTGGAATGTTAAACAACAAAAAAAACTGAGAATAATGAGCCATACTTCTGTAAACTTACCACAAAAAACAATAAACCAGAAAAAAGCAAGTTACTCAGGTGGCATTCATGCCCCCTGCAGCTGAAAACACAGATATTTCTGTACAACAGTTTACATGCAGTATATAAGACACTGGGTCTCTAAATCCCCACTTTGCACTACATACCCAGTGCAGCCCATGCTGGACTGGAAAAAAACATGCACGTCAAATTAAATTCCATTACAACAAACTTATACCACAAAAGTGAACACTAACCCCCACCCCCAAAAAGATCATCTCAAATGCACTGACTCATCTTAAAGCCCATATTCCAGAATGTCAAAGTGTTAGGCTTTTATTGGAGGAGGATTCGGAACGAGAACACTACACTGTGGACTTACACATACATAAACACACACAATACGTACATCACATTTTGTACAATATGAGCGGTTTGTTTAAAAGCAAAACAAGCATTTGAGTTTGTAAAACTTCACAAACCTACATTATACAAGGCTAGATCCCTGGCAGGCAGTAAAACTATGTAAGCAATATATACAGCGGATGAATATTTTTGGCATGTTTAAATCTATGCCGTAGATTAATCCATAGTATTGCTGACATGATCCAAGGCAGCAAAATCACAAGTGATCACAAGTGATCGAAGTTCTGAGAGGGAGACAGGGAACCAATCGCCTCCAGTATGCTGGACGATGCCTTAAGGGAGAGAGGGGAGAAGAATGAATGCTTACCTACTGATACTAGTGTGAGGGTGACACTGTAGTCTGCTCAGCCAATCACAGCATAGCCAATGAGCGCAGACATTCTGAGAAGCAGTGCAATGCCCCCCCCCCCCCTTAAAACACAGAAAGGCCCAAGTGGAGAGTTAACTGCATGCCCCCCCACTGACACCTGGCACGTATACACACAAGACAAATGTATAATCTACATGCATGCTGATGTGCAGGAGCATGACACGATAATCTACATGCATGCTGATGTGCACGAGCATGACACGGGACCCACCCTCCACTCGGCCACGTCAGCGGCAATGCGCTGCTCCGACTGGGAGATGCGATCCCGACCAGCCAGCACTCTCTGCGCCAAGGCGGCGTTCTCCTTCCGCAGCTTCTTCAGCTCCCTGCGCAGGTACTGTCGCTGCTGCTGGTAATAAGGAACCACGAAGCTGCACAGGTCCCTCTCTGGTGCCCCACTGGGCCGCCTGCCGATCACACGCCGGATGGAGCCAACACAGGCAGGCGCATGTCCACCAACGACAGCAATAACTTAGTGGCATGTCAATTAGCTATATATTACTGTTAGACGCACGTGGACATAAAGTAAAATTACTGAGCTTATATACACTCCTGGCAAAGATAGACCAAATGCAAAACTGCAAGATATTAAGCTTTTCAGGGTCTCAATAGCAAATAGCCAGAAGATACTTCGGAAAATTCTGAAAGCATACGATAAGATCATGTAAATGAATTTCTCTGTTTGCAGCCTTTTCCCTTAACGGTTCACTGTTAGCCGCGAGCCGGACAAGCAAATGGTGGCAAATGGTGGCACAGGTCTTAGGAATGATTTTATTTTTTTAGTTCTTGCTAATTATCTGACCAATGATTAGTTGTTAAAAAAGCTTAATATTCTGCAATATTGGGTTTGGCCCATTTTCTTGCACAAGAGTTTACGCTATATAGATATACAGGCGTGATTTCAGAGTCAGGCTACAACTTAAACGGCGGTCAGCAGTACTACGGGGCCAGAGCCTAATCTGAACGTATTATCAGAGAAGATGACAAAGTCCCCACCAAGCCGGGTCTGTGCTCTCCTTGGCTGCTGCCTCCAGAAGGTCCAGCTCCTCCAGCTTACAGTGAAGGTTCCCTTCCTCCATGATCTGAGCGATGTCATCCTGCACATGAGCAGTGAAGCACTAACATGACTAACAGTAAAGTGCAGACAAACGGCTGGATTTAACTAGAGCCCTTTGAAATAAACATTAAGGATACATATTAATACACTCGCTTCGACAAAACTGGAATATGAAGATGAACAGCTAATTTACAACTAAAATGGACTATAATTACACCTTTAGGCAGTGCCTATGGTCTATTCTCAGGACAGCTGGTATTTTTCCCCAAGATATATGTATGATATAACACACCAGAGATGTGCATAGAGACCATCTGACATCCGAACAACTGACAGTGCTTAAGCTGTCAAGCTTCATCCAGATTGTTCAGTTTTATATGATTCAGCAGTGAAGTAGTCAAATGTCTGTATGCAAGTTGTTTGACAAAGTTTGCATAAAACAATTTTTAGTTTGCAAATCAAAATTCCTCCACACTTGGCTTCTGTGCTTTTTTCACCACATTTTCTAATAAATTCCTATGATTCTCTAACCAGATATCAGCATTCAGGATATCAGTATTCAATGCCCTTAGAACGGACACAAATATGTACAAAGTTAAAAAAAATTGCTACATAAGAGAAAGCAATGATACCTGAATTAAACGGATAAAAACAAATGCACATATACAGTCTCTCAGGTGATTTCTAAATAGAAGAGTGTGTGTGGGGGGGGGGTATGGCCATGATGTCACAGGAAGGAGAGTCAGGTGACCACAGCTTGCGTGACAATGTGTGGTTCAGCAGGCTTAAGCCTCTGCCTGTGATCAGAAGCTCATCGCTTGGAGCCTCAGCAAAAGTCGCATGTCCACTGGCCACTGAGAAAAGCCCCTCACCCCAAGCCCTACAGGCACTGCATGCTGCTGGCTGACCCTGTGCCGTGACCCCCAAGCTTACTCTCACCTGTCTGTGCAAGATGGAGTGGAAAGGTAGTTTAATTCCCAAAACAACCTGATGTGCTTCATTCCAGTAAATAAGCGGCACCATTTCAGATGTCGCTACCCGAATGTCCGGTCAGGGTCACTCATTTCACAGTTTTACTTTCTTCACATAAGGAAATGCTTTTTGATGGGGATCAATGCATCCCATTCCATAATGCAGCAAACTGAAAGTCCCTGACAGATTCTAGTGTAACATGGTCCTGTTAACATTTCTGATTCCCACACCTTCCCAGAAAGTCTGGGGGAAGGAGGCTATCGATGACAAAACAGAGAGAGAGAGAGTGACAAATGAAACTGGCCCCGGCATGCACTTCCCAACCTGGATGGCGGTCTGCAGCTGTGAGATGAACTGCTTGTGTATGCTCTCTGTCAGCTGGGGGTTCTGCTTGTAAAATGGGTGGAAGGTCTTGGCAAATCTGTGAAAACTACAAAGAGCAAATTCAGTTTGCAAAGCCAGTGTCCCCAAGAGTCAAACAAGGCATGAAGACCAGCACAGGGAAAGGTGACACTCAGGAACAATGGACTGTCTAAAAGCGGTCAGTCTCTCAGTGGCCTAAAGAGCAGTTTAACTGACAAGGAAAATAATTTAATTGCACATTCCAAGTGAAAAACAAGTTGGAGAACATTTTAATATTTTCTGAAAACATGCCTAAAATATCCTTTTAATGTCACCAATGTGTCTTCCTCATTACTTTTTTCTTCTGATATCCATCCATCCATCAATCAATTACTTATCTAGTACAAAGTTAAGGGGGGGGGGGTATACTTCAGAGATCCATTGTTACAAGGCAGAGGAGGCAACGCCCCTCTCAGAACAATTGCGCGTGCGCGCGCACACACACACACACACACACACAAACTACAGAGGTACCCTGTGCAGTACACACAAATCAGGAATTATGGACTTTGGAGTTCATACCTTTCTCATAGATTTAAACAGCTCGAGTACTGATGAACTGACTATCTATCCATCCATCCTCTAACCACTTATCTTAGTCAGAGCAGGAAACCTAGTATTACAACTATCTAAATAAATAATAAGGTCGACAAAGGTTCTGCTGGGTTTTTGTCCTTCATAACAGGAGCCACACTGGGCCTGATTTTAGGCAAGAGTTCTGCATGCCGTTAGATCACTGCGAAATATATTAAACATAGTTATACTTAACTAAAGTGCGAAAGCAAAACTAGGTGATATTTAACTATTGAGATGTGCTCCTGGCTACATCAAACACAGGTTTGTCAACTTTGGTCATCTGGCTACATTAGATTTTCAATTCGAGACAAGTCTGCACACACATTTAATAGTATGTAAGAAATTTATTACCTTGTAAATAGTCTGCAGGGATTGCAAACTATCCCTACGCTTTTTAACTTCGGGTTTATAATGGAATAATATAGATTTCCCTAAGATTTCTTACGTGAGAGTCCGAAACCGTAAGTGTCACGACAAATGAATGAGAGCTGGCAACCCTACATGCAATTAGTCTTATTTCTAAATCGCAATACACTTGACATCAGAACAGCTGTTTTGTTTTCATCCTCCGCGCCTCGTTTATCGACGTAACATGTCTAGTAGATGAGTTGAAACTGCACTGATAATTCAATTAAAAAAGATGTTTCGATTAGTGGATTACACCGGACAAATAATATGAAACGTTTACACCATTAGTGTTTGAGGGTCAGCGTCTCTAAGAAAGGGGCGATCCCCTAGGTGGCTAAGGCTAGCTACCTGGCATCAGCTATCAGTCTTTGCAAGCTCTTTTCCATAACTTTGTTGAAAAGCTTCAGTCGATTCCTTCGCGGATCGGCGGCATTGTTTTCACTGGCGCTGCTACGCTCCGCAGATTGATCTGAGGGGTCTCCAGCACTTGCCCGATCTTCGGTAGTGCCCCGCTTTTCCTCCATGGTGCTTCTTTTTGCTCGAGGCTGCAAAAAAAACCCCGCCAACAATTCAACTTGGCATCCCTGCTGTCAGTAACTCAGAAAGGGTTTCGTTGTTCAATACAATTGGACAGCGTCCTTTCCATTTTAACCAATCGCGTCGTCGTACTGTAGAAATCGCAATCACGCTTAGCATTTGTCCATTCAGTGGGAAGAAGCTGTCACACTAAGCGAGCGCCCGCCTTTTAAAAGCACAGGGCACACCAACTAGGATAGTTCTGTAAAAATGAAATGGTGCCGTATTACAGGTCTTCCCCATGATGGACTTTGCACTGCCGTCGTCTGTCGCATTTTTATTACTACCAATAAATTACAATCCCCGACAGTTTTAAAACACCTCTTGTAAACTTAATAGTGAGATAGTGAAATTAAGTCGAATATTGCACAGATAAAATCAAAATCAACTTCTTTATTAACATCACAAAAAAGGAGATCTTGTAGGGGGTAGAACAAATTTCTCCAACACAAATTGCATTTCAAACACGTGTCAGACTCATTAAAGTGGCTGATCTCTTCCAGCACCGAGGTAATTTTAACAAAATAGCGACCTCTACTGGTCAAGAGAATGTATAATACAATCCACTACTTAAGCAAATTCCCGTAAATTTTAACGAGTTAATATAGATAAACTACTACTATTAAGTACAGGTACAAAAAAAAAACAAAAAAAACACATCATGTAAAACAAATATAACAAAACTTGGATCGGAAAAATCTAGAGTAGAACAATCAAGTATAAAATCCAAAAAGTACCAAAGAAAGATCATAAATTCTCTAGTACTTTATTGTCAGGGGGTGGGCCGGCATGCAAATTTGTCCCAGGCTGCTTAGAGGAACAAACATTTAACAAATATTACTGGGCTGCATCTCGCGATTGTCCATATTCTGGACAATGGCTCCACCAGGCAGTCCTTGGATCTGTTGCCCCTCCAAAGTGGTGGACTAGATGATAAAGCCTTTCCAGCACCCACCCCTTAGCTTCCTCCCTCGACCTCCGGAAATCCATCATCACACAATCTTGGAGAAGAGCCTGGATTTTCCTCCAAAGAAAGATTAGCTATGGTCAGTCAGAGCTGAGTCATACAGCTGCATGCAGGCATAATAAAAATGGCTGATCTAAACACTCGCTGCAGTTTTATATCTGACAAACGAATGTATGACAAGCTATGGCAGGCTTTGCTGCACCTATATGCAATCTACATTTTCTGACACAGGTTTAGTTCTGTGGAATCCAGGTCATGTGGCTAAGTAGTTAGCACTGTAGCCTCATGACTCCAGAAACATGCCATTAGGGGCACTGGTTACTCTAAATTGCCCCTTGTGTGTGCAGGTGTGCTGCGTGATGATCTGATATTCCACCAGGGTGACCACCACCTTGTGCCATTTGGAATTGACTTCATGCTCATTGTAACCATGAACTGGATAAGGGATTACAGAAGATGAACGCTTATGTTACCCGTAGAATTCTTATTCAGATAAGAAGTAATATATTAAAGGAGATATCCAGCACTTTTAACATCTTCACTAAATACTATTGTTTATTAGAAGTTGGTAGGCACCATTTTGGAACAAGCTTCCCTATAGCATAATAATGACATTCTTTATATTCATTCTAGTCAGCATTAGATACATTTCTAGCAGGTCTTGGCAAATGAGTACTGCTTACATTACGTGATTATTGAAAGTCCGCTTCAGTGGAGGAAAAAAACATGTGTTCCATGAGAGGGGAAAGGAGTAGTCTTCAGTTCCTTAAACTGCTGAGCCATTTGGAGAAACTGAGCACAAATACAGCTTGGTTTGTAAATGGTTTATAGAAAATTAAGATGCTGTCTTTCCTCCCAAAAGAGCAATTTGGGAAGGTTGCGCTTGGAGATTTTGGCTGTTTCTGTAACATTTCAGTGTTAAGGGCAGGGATTTTAACTTCATAGGCAGGCAAAATTGCTGTGAAAGTTCCTCTAAAAGTCATTGTTCAAAGCTAATGTTGAACTTCTGTCGGTTCCCAAAGGAGCATGACATAAAATCAAGAATGTGTCACTGTAAATGTTGTTTGATAAGCAGCAAACTACAGAAGTTGTAAAAGAACTAGCAGGTGAACCAAGTCTAATACTACTTACCTGCATTTTTGAGTGAAGTACTTTTTATGCTTAGCCTTGTTATAGATTTTCTCCTTAATAGTTACATAGTAATAAGTTAATGCCACAAAAATACCTGCCGAATCGCTGTATTTGTTATTCTTTTTAAAAATTATATTGATACTAATGCTGCACCCAATAACCTAAAAATATGTCCCTCCTGTCACATTTTTTCTGTCCCTCATTGCTATCTCTACAGATACTGATCCCCTTGAAAATGACCTGACACTAACAATAAAAATGGCCCCTTACCAATAACACGTTAACAATAAGTTGTTCACTATAGAACGGCAGAAATATCTATTTTGAACAATGACTATCTAAAATGTCATAAACCAAGTTTAGGCCACAGTGGTCCAGAGGAATGTGTTTAAGATAAACGAATGCAGCACCGTTTAATGGGTCTTTTGATTTTTTCTTGAAGAGATGGTTGGGTTCTGCAGTGCTGAAAGGTAGGGCAAATTTATTCCATCGTAGAAGGACAAAAACTGTAAGCGGGCTTCAGAGAGGGGACAGGCAATCCTGAAATTAAGGAATGATGAAAATCTCTATCATTTAAAATCTTTCATCTCTTCCTGCAGGTAAACAAATGCCAGTCTGACTGGATGCACCCAACCCCCAGCTAGGGGGTTTAAAAGTTTGGCTGCTCCACAGTACTATTGCCTGGGGGGTTTTTGCAGGTAGGCGGAAATACCAGGAATAGACAGAAAGGAAAACGGAAAACACAGGAAATCAGTTTCACACTCATGTGTGAAATTTTCCTACGCTGTTTTGCAGATTATATCAGCGCAAAGAACAAAGAACAGAAGCCTCAAAATACTGTACATCCCACATGGATGTGAAAACAAAGCCAACTTCTAATGAAAAATAATACCCCAGAATCTTTTGTTACAATAAACATCCTTTCTGATTATGTAAAACTAATCTGCACTTCCAGTACAAAAGGGCATAAAGATGCTTTTAGGAATTTCCAAACAATCCATTTCAGCTGCATTTTATCCAGTATGCTACCAGCTAACCTTTCACAGGTAATTTAACACACGCTATGACTCCAGTTTTTTTTTTTTTGGCCAAGAAACATTGCAAAAATAACTCCCAGCCTAAGAGCTAAACGAATTAAATAATAAAAAAGTACAATTGAGTAACTGAGCTATAAACTTGCATTCTAAACACTGAAGGTAACTTGCTACAACTTTGTGTTGTTCACTGCTAGATCCTAAAATTGCCAAAACTTCAGAGAACTACTGAAATGTTGTACCACAGTTGTTCCTGAAGTCTCTGACGCAAAGAGTAAATATGACTAATGACATTACTGTCCCTTGGTTTGCTCAGCATTATATCAGAGCTGCAGACTGGTGCAGACAACCTTTGGCCAGTTGGTGAGGTAACCGTAGCAACCCTAATCACCTCAAGCTTCTCCTGTAGCAGGGAAGGTTGTTACACACACAGGACAAGTCAAAGACGAAAATCCTTATGATTTTTCTTGACTTGCCCAGGTGTGTAGGCTCTGTGGAGCGTCTTCCATTTGTGTCTAATATAGAAAGTCTCTCATGAGTGGTCTGAGACTGTGTCAAAATGTTTTTATTATAAGGAATCCAGCTGGTCTGTAGTCATTAGGGGCACTGGATCATCTATTCTATGTGCACAGAGACTGCGTGAGGCTTGGGTTCATGGTAGCCAGAGATCTTCCTCTTTCCATACCTCCACCATGCCATTATTCTCCAGCAGTTATACTCCAGTTTAAGAGTCAATGCACATTGTATTAGTTATCAATGGGAAATTCCATCCATCTGGCCACAAATCTCCCATGATGCTTACCCAGTGCAGGGTCATGGTTAGTCTGAAGCAAAACTGAGGAAGAACAAGAGCATAGGACAGGGGACCACCCTGGGCAGGATATAAGTCCTTCACGAGGAAAGCACACAATCACAACCGAAGGGAAATTTACAGTCCATCCATCTATTCAACCATCCATCCTTTATCCAATAACCATTTAGCCTATGCTAAGTAGTGGAGGCACATCATACAAGATATGAGCAACTGATACTACTAATGAAAACTAAAAGACCCTTTATTTTCCATTTGCACAAGATACATTGGAATGCTTCTCTTTGTCTCCCCCAACTTGCTCTTCATGAGAGGTGAGGCCAAGCTTGGGGGTCACAGCACAGGGTCAGTCAGGGTGCAGAACCCCTGGAGCTGGGGGTTAAGGGCCTTGCTCAGGGGCCCATGGACATGTGACCATTCTGCTGTCCTGCTGGGGCTTGAGCTGGCCATCTTCTGACCATCGGCACAAAGGCTTAGCCTACCAGCCCCACACTCACCACTTTGCTTTTAGGGATTGCAGCATGTCAAAACCGCTGTCAGCTTTTCACGCTAGGAGTCAGCAGCATGGATCCCTGAAAGTCCTGGGTAGTGAGGATTACACAGCGTTTAGCAATTAATGGACATAAACATGTTGCAGAATATCCTGAAATGATCAGAGACCACACTCATACCCAATCCATGTTTGTCTAAGCAAACTGATGATCTTGGACATAAAACATTTTGTCATGCTTGGTAGTACACAGGGATCTTATGTACAATATGTGTCATTCTCTGCTTTCCTCTTTCTCTGGGATTCTCGTTCTATCATGTCTATTTAAATAAAAACAGAGACTTGCTGAAATAAAACCGAATGCAGAATTCTCAATGAATTTTGCAGACAGTTAAGCAACTGCAGAGAAAAAAATGACAAATAAATTGCCTAATAAAATGCCTATAAAGCTTTTATTATAATTGGAAAAGTACCAGTGTTTTGGAAGGAGTCTATTCAGGTCAATCTGAAGGAATGTGAGAATGTAACAAAGAAGTATCATGAATGTATGTATACTTTTTGTGTTGTACTTTTGTTTTGAACTTATACCATTTTCAATTCTAAGAAGTCCATGTATTTTTGTCCTATTTCACTTTTGTTTTTCTTTTCTTAAAAAGGAGGTCGTCTGTGTTCAGCACTGGGCATGTAGACGATTGAACATGTAACTGTAGCGTTTTTTTATTGTCAAAAGCTCTTAGATCCTGCCTTTATTTCCAAAACGATTGAACTTAAACAGTTACCATTCAAACTCTACTGCAAACAGTCAGTTCGGTTGTGTCTTTGGACAGACGAGGCAGGTAACATTCGCCTGCAAGGAGATTGGAGGTGTTTAAGAGGCAACCGTTTTACAGCTAAAGATTTTATACATACATACATATATATATATATATATATTCCGGATTTCTTTATTTCTTTTTTCTTGATTGAAAACATTTTGAAGAGCAAACAAATCAAACACGAAATTATACTTATTTAAACATAGTTCATTTTATGAGCTGATATGAAAAATACAATATTCATTTCAATCACATTTTTTTCATGTTCTTATTTTAATATTGGCTATAGATTTTGGAAGGAAAGACAATACATGAAAATGCCAAAGGTCTACAGTATGGCACAAAATTGTGCCCTGGGAGCAACTGGACTTTATTGTGATTTAAGCAGAATGTCTGAACTGGACAAGGAGTAGATCGCAACAAGCCTGGTGGTTTCAAGTTATTTAATTCAAAATTCTCCAAAATGGTCTGATACAATTGAACTTGGGTTTGGGTGGTTAGTTAATTATTCAGACTTTTCATTGGGTAGGAATAATGAGTGTGGATATAGAATGAGACTATTTTCAAGCAAGCTCTGGAAGAACATGGGGATGGTGAAGACAGAGGAGGTCACTGTGAGATGAATGAGTTACTGACAATGGAGGAAGCTGGCTGGAAAAAAGGGAGGGAATACAAGTTACACCAGTATACAACTGACAGAGATGCTCACTGGGGTTAGTGGCAAGGCTGCAGGCTGAAGATCGATGGGCTTCTTTCATTCTGTGCTTCCAGAATACTGGCTGATGCTCAGCCTTTGGCTCGGGGCACGGGGGCCTTATTCCTCAAAACACTACACAGGTGCACTTGGTGGTCTTGGGGCTCATCTGGTCAAATAGGTTGGACGCCTGTGTCTGGATCAGTTTCCAGAAGCTGGAGAAGGAGATTTCCTCACCGTCCTTCACACCCATGGTCTGCAGCATTGTAGATAAACCCTGCTCACCTCCTGAGGACTGTGAGAGAACAACAGGCCCAGCCTCCTCATTAACAGTGTATTAATATTAAATGGGGTGTGGCTAAATATCAATTACAACAAACACAACTGGCCAAAAAGACCAAAAAACTTTAAATTTTTTTTAAATAAAGGAAGACACACCATTTACCGTTATTGCAATTGTATAATTCAGCCCATACAGTACTTCTGAACAGCTGGACAATAATTTGCAATAATTGAGAAAGAGCTAATAAAGTATTAATTATACAGAAGACCAGTTTTTGTGAATACTGCTGAAAACTTCTGTTAAACAGAATGCCGTGCTGTTATGGGGTAATCGGCCTTTCCAGAAATGTAATGTTTCATGTAAACATCTAATACCATGTCTTTTATAGTACAAAAGTCACACAAGGGAACCTAACATAAACTTTCTATATAAACTGAAAAATGTGTTTAACAATAATCATATTTAAATGCATATTTGTTTATTTTCATGTTATATTGATGTGTGAAACTAACTGTGAATAAATAAAAATAATATTTAAAAATTTGAATGGGAAGTATATAGAGAATACCCTGTCCCTCAGTATTATGGGGACTGGCTTCAGGACGCTCTGCTGATACCAAAATCCACGGATGCTCAAGCCCCATATATAAAATGGTGCATAGTATTTGCATAGAACCTACGCACATCTTGTATACTTCAAATATTCTCTAGATTGCTTATAATTAGAGATGGGCTGATCCACATTTTTTCAGTTTCGATCCAAATCCGATACACACCTGCCGATACCGATTCCAATACAAGATTTCTTTTTATTTTAATATAATAAATATAATATATATATTTATACTTTATATATTTATTTTTAAACTAGTAAATACAGATGAAAAATACATGCCAAAAAAATCTTTAATTAGGCTACCAGAAACATACATAACATCTTGTTTTAACGTTTTTGAGGTATTTGCAGTTCAGTTTGAATATCTTCCAGAAGAGTACATGCCAGTGGCGAATGCTTAAAATGCCACACAATTATTCTCCCACTGGCAACAGCATCACTTACACTGTATCACAAGCTGTAGGAGTGCACAGCTCAAGCTAGCCACTCACAAACTTTCCACTGTTTCTTTCTTACTACTCGCGTTGTCTCGCACAATTCCGTACGCTTTTTTACTGGGCTTTTCCACTAAACGCTACTCCCACCTCTTCAAAATTTGTTTTTACAAAGATTGCATATCGCTATGCTACAAGTTCTTTTTTTAAGCGTAAATCAGGACCAGACCGTCACCCTCACATCTGCTCTTTTTACGCTTCTCCTGCTGTGAAGGGTATGCGCATCACGTCACAGCTGGCGGAAGTCACCGCGCTCACACCCACTGAGTAGCAAACAGATTGAGTGGAAGCGTCAGCGTTCGGCTTTAATGCCATAAAAACACATCTGAAATGGAAAAGAGCTGCCTTACGATTGATTGTACAAATAGATTTAACACGAACTGTCTTTTTAGAGACTACCAAAAACTAAATAAGTAAGTATCGGACGCGGATCGATCACATATGGCTGATAACCTATACGTCAAATAGGTCTGGATCCGCGGCGATACCAATCCGAATATCTGATTGGTGCATCTCTACTCATAATACATAACACAATGTAAATCCTATGTAAATAGTTGTTATACCTTGTACTGTGTTGTTTAGGAAATGATGACAAGGAAAAAAAGAATTTTGCCAAAGTTCTGTCTATGGTTGGGGAACCCCAGCAGCGGATACAGAGGGTTCTATACAACAGAGGCCGTCTGGGTCATCTTGTATAGTGCCCATTAAAAAAACAAAAAGGTCTGAGATGTGAGATGGCGATCAGAGCACGGATGAATCGCTTGGATGAAGATTCTAGATTTCCAGTAACTCTTAATGACAAAAGAACTACAGAATACACCAAAAACTATTTATTACATTATTACTCTAGCACTCGATGAGTTTACAGTCATCACTTGTATATTTTCAAATAATTTTTGTTTATTATTTAAGATATTGAGCTGGTGTGCCAGAGGTCATTCCCGATAATACCGTGTCTTCAGTAGAGTTGGTAAGAAGAGTAAAAAGTGGCATCTCTGGATTCCGTGCAGTGTGGTTGTTTGCAAACACCCTTAAAATTTTTGGTAATTGTCATACAGCTTTTACTAGCCCTTTGCTGACCCAGCAGATTCCAAAGATGTTTAGTAGACAGATGGTTATAATAAACCATTCGCAAGTTATTAGGAAGACACATGTTTCTTCCATTGGAGGGCAGTCTAGGAAGTGGCTGTCACCTTTTTGTTCCGTTGTGTGAATGGCAAGCATTGTGAACCTGGTGCCCTGCAGATCACTGAGTACTGCACCGCTGGTTCCGAGGCTGCTACTGCCCACTGGAACTGCCTCCATAAGATCTCATGGCCTGACGTGCTGTCAGATTTTTGACATGTAACCCAAAGGACTGCATCTGCCTGTAATTGCTTGCAGATCCAGGCATGGGTTTAGCTCAGGACATACAACATTTGTTTTCACTTTGACGAGATTGCTTTTCATGTGTTTTTTCCCAGTAACACTTCACTTGAGGGGGCATTAATGATGTAGTACACTCTTAGTAATGTATTAATTAACCAGAAACTAAGTGTTAGGTACTGATTTCATTGTGATCATGATTGATCAGTTGTAACAGTTCAAAGATTTCATGCAATTACCATATCTGTTAATGATTTAAACTTGAGTATAGTGACTGAGTTACCAACCTACTTGTGCCCCTTCAAGAAAAGTGTTACCATTCTTCCTTCCTGACTAACAACTTCTGTTATAGCAATGACCTTGGTGATAATTATTAATGTTTTTTTTTTCTTCAGAATTCGCTTAAATGAAGTGACCATTTTCAAAGCTTACAGCTTATTAGTAGGTTACCATACCATTAATTTGCAGTTATTAATTTGCTAACTCCTGGATGTGAATCTCGAGTGTCAGTTATGTCTCCCACAAGTAGTCCGCAGTCTCAGAACAGTTTTCAGGGACCGTGTGATAAGGATCCCATGTTACAAAAAAAAAAAAAAAAAACCCTCTTAGAAAAAATAAACGTAACGGGCACTGGTTTACTGGCCCATTTAGTTGTGAAGGCAGTTGAGCTGAAGGTAGAGCCACACCTTGGTGATGAATGGCAGGTGTGGCTGAGTACACGGCAGGAAGCTTACCTTAGCCAGGGTGGGCAACTGGGCGGAGAGGAGGTTCTTGAACTGATCTGTATTCAGACCTTTGCTGTTCTCACCACCGGCCTTGTGGAACTCTGTGACCAGGGTGTTGATGGCCTTCTCCAGATCTGAAACCTAAGAGAGAGGACAGAGTTGTCAGGCTGTACAACCGGACTTACTTAGAATAAGAGAACCACACTCTGGTCTCAGACACAAACTGCTGAGAGCATTGCCAGGTGTATAATGTGTACATTGATTCAAGCCAAAATGCCAACATACTTCTAGACAATAAGTCTGTCTTGACATGCATACCAGACTTTTGCATGCCTCCCATACTTTAAGAGTAAATTACGTGCAGCTATCCGCCTGACACGGTATGCTTACAACTATTTTTTATATTTTTCGCAAGGGTCAGATTTTGCTGTCGAAATGTCAACATTCACAGTGGGTTTTTGCTTGCAAATTATTCCAATACGGACATCCTACATTTTCTGACAATGCACAATGTACACAAACCCACCAGCCGGCAACATTTCAACATTTAGTAAAAATGCCAGGTATGAATACACAGCCATTATTCAGTATTATATTTATTGAAAAACTGGGTTAAGGAACGTCAATTTATTTTTGAATGTTTTATGTAAATTAAAGTCCTTCCACCCAGCAATTAAATTTATCAGTACTTTAACAAGAACTATGGGTGTCCTTTAAAAGAGACCATGCCTGCAGTTTCTTGCTCACATTCTGAATGGCGGTTCCCTCAGGTATAGACCAGTGAAGGAGGCACCTGAAATACCTGCTGGTTGAGCAGTGAGGGCTGTGATAGCAGCTACTATTTACCTTCAGGGAGTGCTGAAAGGACCGCAAGCTTCAGTTGAGCAATAACAGAGGAGAGACTGAATATGAGAGTACAGGTGACTAACTGTCGGTTTTCCATTCCCTAGAAGGGCGGAATTATCCAATCCTTAGTAATCCTGCCACGGACATGGACTGGAATGTCAACCACTTTCAACGTATTTTAAAATGTTTAAAATAAAAAATAAAAATGATATATATAGGTGCGTGTCTGTGTGTGTTTCTACATGTACACACACAGACACACACACACACACTACAGCCTAATGCATAGTATATTTAAATAGGCGTATTTGCAGAATGTCCACACAATGTACGTGCTACCATACATTGCGTAGGATAGACCGATCTCCCTGCGTTTGACCAGAGACCACCTGGCCCTGGCACAGGAATGCTGGAGGAGGCTGATTGATTCCCCCTGCTTTCCATTTTACTCTGCGGCGGTCAGACACTGGAAAACTTAATTGCACTAAATATGGCCCAAAGCGAATTCTGCGGACGGTTACACAGAAATTACAGTGTCCATGCTTTAAAGCAGGCAGTCTTTTCTGAGACATCCATAAAGTGTACTGCCCCACGAATACGCGCTTCGCTTGTTATACGTTGCGGAACTTATAGTCACGAATTAAAATTGCCGAAACAACGTGCAAGCATAATCTCCAAGACATAGGCTAATAAAATACAGATGTTGTCCCGCGTCAGATTTTTAAAATCGTTTAAATATGCCTATTTCTACATATTTTAAATATAATATGATGTTTAATAAAGCTAACAATCTCTCGAAAAGTAACGCTTCTGGTGAGCGAATAGAGAAATGACGAGGTACGATACTGTATCATAAAAGTGCGTAAAATGTATCCTTTTAAGTCTATACTCGGTCCAGGTTTTCCTTAAGAGTTCCAAAAAGCTTCCCCCTACCTTTTCAGCCATTTGGATTCGTTTCTTCTGCGCTTTCTGTTAAAAGTAAACGTTTCTTTCCGCGAAGTTCAGTAATTGTTACGCTTCTCTCTCAGAGCTCCATTACTTCTGTCATCTTGGCTCGCATCCCGTATCCTCCCCTCCGACGCAAAAAAAGAAACTGGATTCCACCTTCCGTGTCAGTCAGGGAGTTACAGCCCAGGGAGACACTTTAAGGCTGTTGTCACACAGATCTCACTAACCGTTACCTCAACACTAACTGAAAAGAAAATATTTCGAGTTCACATATGTCTTGGTTTGCTGTTATGGGGCAGAGCTTTTTAATGTGTCAAAGAGGACTTTTTTCATGGCAATCTCAAGTATGCGCAGTGAGTTAAGCCCATCTGGAACCTTTTAAGAGGAGTTGGAACACGTTGCATTTGAGCAACAGCTAGCTTGCAAGTTTGGACTGGTGTGCTGTGCTTTTATCCTTGCTGCTGTTAACCCCTTCATATTTGTGTACATACTCTTTTATTTTTATGCGACCGAGCTGAGCTGAAGCATGATACTATAACTACGACAGACTGATTCGATTTTAAATATGTGCTTCGGATAGAAGGAAATGTGCTTTATGTTGGTAAAGCCTGACCGAACGATAACACCAGACAGGTAGTTTCACCGTGTACGTCTGCTAATGCAGAAACTGACAGGGGAAGTGTGGGAAAAAAAACATGAACAAGCATTGCCGCATTCTGGAAAGCCGGTTATATTACTTTTAACTGGCGATTTTAGCTTCCCAAATGTTTTATAACAAATTAATGTTTCCGGTAAATATACATACGCATGTAAATGTTTTCTTGTTTTAATATACATCTCTACATATTGCTCCATTTTTATCTTCTTTAAAACACAAAAGAAATCAAAGTTTCTCTTTTTTGGATATGCTACTTCTAAAATTTACCACACACCCTATATGACACCATCACAATGGCCCTGACTGTCAACGCTGCGGTGGCTTATTTCTTCACCTGCCGGTCTCAGGATACCAGCAGTCGCCGGGAAATGGGAAAGGCAGCGCCCACTTGACACCTATAGGTCACAACATGTGAGACGGAAAGTTCTTGTCCACAAAACATGTTGATCCAGATGTCTTCGTTTTCCTCTCTATCATATGTTTCGTTCTGCGGTGTGTAATTATACCTGAAAATAGCTGCTGTTTTCTTTCCAAATTAATTTGTTTATGCGGAGCTTCATAAAAGTCCCCAGTTATCTTTGTTCTTGCCTTTTGTTGTTGTTGTAAAGATTGAACTCCTTTTAGCAGAGAATGCCTGACATGCCTTAAATATCAAGATGATAATCTGTCATTTTCTGAAGCATATCCAACTCTGTAATGATTCTTGGGCAACCTTCTGACTTATTGCAAAGGTGCCTGTGGTTTCAAACATGCTCTACATTATTTTGGAAGAACTGCTCTCACCGCTCTGCCCCTCTTGTGTGTGTGTGTGTCTGCGAACATGTGTGTCAGGTATATATTACATTATGATATTTTGACATTGTGGGGATTTTTTTGGGTCCCCACAAGGGGAAATTCAATTTTATAAACAAAAAACTAAAAATGCCAAAAGACTTGTATTTTGTTTGGTTACTTATGGTTAAGGTTAGGAATGGGTAGAGGTTAAGGTTGTCAGTGCTGGGATTACAGCGTTTAGCCCACAAAAATGAAAGGATGGTCCCCACAAAAAAGTGAGTACAGGTCTGTGTGTGTGGGGGATGGGTGTGGGGGTAGCTTTTATGATGTTTTGTGAAAGCAGCAAATGACATCTGGTGTGGCCAGAAATGTAATCAGATTGCTTAACCCAGTGGATTTCAAAGCAAGAAAGGGAAGGACTCGATTCTGAGATTCCAGGTCTCAATAGTCGAGTGTAGAGTAATCATTTCATTGAAATTCGATTACCTGCAATGCAGGAATGCCATTGAAAATATGCATATTCTCTTAGCATATTTCAAATAATGATGTTAAAAAAGAAAACTATAAGGTCTCTGAACATCACTCTAAATGACGTTGTTTTATAGATTATATGTTGAAATATTTTATTTATATCTCATCCTTATTTATTTATATATTATTTATATCTCATCCTAATCCTACTCATATATTCAAGTGCGATATTCATAGTATCTTTGGAAAATCGCATAGCTTTAATGTCTGATGAGCAGTTGAAATATTTAATTATTTCAAAACTGAACTAAGCCTAGCTTTCATATTGTTTGTGCTGAAAGACTCTAATTTCAAGGTTATTTTATTAGCATAAAGGATTGCTTACGAGGGAGGGTCTCTTGCTAGTGAATTGTCTTTCCTATATGATTTTCCTCTAGGAAAGCAACACCTTGCAAGTCCAGCCTTTTTTCAGTAGCAATACTCTTCTGGGCATGAATGTTAAATGGTAGACGAAAAAGAGAATTGCAAGCCAAAAATCACACATACCTTTCTAATCATTGTCCCTATTTAAGCCTGCCCAAACTTGTTAAAAGACTACGCTGAGGTATTCTAGAGTGTTTCCTATCCTTTTTATGGTGGACATGTTGTGAATACTGCACGACTATGGCAACATACAGACACAGCTGCTAAGATGCTTTAAGTACTGATTTCATACTAGAGTCACAGAGCTGTATTCAATTAGAGCCATATGATTCACAGTGTGAAGGAGCAGACTGTTTTATCTAAGAAGCAGGCATATCTAATGGACTGCCCCCCTGAGTGTACATGTATGCAGTATAAAATATTATAGATTCATTATGCATTCATATTATTATTGAGCCTTTGAGCAACAGTTAGTACTGACTTTTGAAGAATTAAATGAGCGTGTGAATTATTTTCACTATGTAAACATGTGGTAGGAGCTTATAGCTACTCATGTAATATCTTCCCACAATATAGTAACTACATATGTCATAATAAAAATTTAACGACTCACAATGTAAACAATCATGATGGCATTACAAACTCTCACCCAATAACTGCATTAAATTCATGCACATAATGTACTAAATATCATTTTATATTGCCTTTAATACATTATGAGTTTTTATAAGATATTTGCTATTACATATTATGTATATATTACATTGTAAGCAACAGAGATTCATTATGGCTTATTGACCAAGAATTTATTTTTAAGGATTTGCCACAGTTTTTATGTCCAGTGATTTTTAACACTATTCTCGATGTCAATAGACCCCCCTGTTGGCTGTGGTGCTGATTGTGTTTTTAATGCTAAGCAGCAATGGGGGACGCCTCAGTTACATTCAGTAAGTGTTGGGTGGGGCCGTGCCTATGTGTTGTTGCAGTGTTTGGTGAGACTTCACCTATATTTTGTAACAATGTGGGGTGAGGTGTCAACTATTTATAGTTGCAGCACTAAATGAGGCCTTACCTATATATAAAAAACAGTTTTGGGTGAGGCATTGTATATGAAATTGTAACAATGTTGAATGAGCCCTTGTGTGTCTGAAACAGTGACAGCTACTGTACAGATTGAGCCTATCAGTCTAGAGGGGGATCAGGTCTGTTCATATGATTGTCCAGGTCAGCTTACTGAAGTCCTTGGGTCAGGTCATTGAAAAGGTTCTTGTTTGTGTGGCTGGCGCTCAATTATTTATGTTAATTAAGACATTTTGAAACTTCTAACAACCCTGTGGGTGGGAACATACCAAACTGCACTCTCAGCCAGCTAATAAACTGGATTATTGGGTGTACCATGGAGAACTAATTAAAAGTGATGACTTACTCTAGAGACAAAATATGTGAAAACAGCCAAGAGGAAATATAAATCATACACCTCATACCAGTTTGACTCCTTTCTTAAACATTCGGATTGTCAGTGCTAAAATTGCAGGTTCTTCAGTCACAAAAGCTGCAAGATGATTTAACATGGGAAGGACAACCATCACAAAAAATCGTGATACTGCATGTGAGACATGGACAAACTATTAGCGAAGAGGTGAGGTTGAACAAGTTGAAATGGACTGAAATGGCTGTCAAAGACCACAGTAGTATAGCCAGAAAAATTACAGACCTGACTGATGATGTTTCATAATTACAAAATGATAATTCCAGTTTAGCACTGGGATGATGTCCAGTGTTTTCCATGTCTTACTCATTCATATACCCTGACAGCGAACAGTGCGATGAGAATAGTGACTGACACAAACACTACCTACTGCTGCCTTATCAGCGTTGCTATTTGTGTAACCAAGCTAGTTTGGTTTGTACAATCAAATAAGATAATCGTTATCGAACTTAATCGACATGAGACGATTCAATTCTACAATTTCACACGGCATTTTTTTGAATAACTGTTGGTTAAGATACAAGGTTTTCCATGAGTTAAGTTCACATACAAAGCCGTACCGTGCTCCTGCGTTCACCAATCTCTATATTTGTTGTCTCTTTATCGCGGGTCTGGAAGTGAGGGTCTGGCTGCTGGAGTGAGAGTTCAGAATGAACCGTTTTAACGGAGGGTAGGGGGTTCTCCAAATAAAAACTGTAAGAAAAAACTTAAAATGAAGTATTATTAATCGTATGTGTTTTTTTTTGTACACCAGCCATTATATGTGATATTATTGATGGGGATGATCCCTCCCCCGAATCTACACCTATATATGTTTAGGGGAAGTTCTGGAGCACAGAATGTGATGTAGATTTCAACCTCCTTCATTCCTCATGGAACTGGAGGATTTTTTTCATGAAGGATGTTCCAGTATATCTCACTACTGTAAATACAATTCAGGATTTGTATGAAAGCATTTGAAGAATATTTGTTTTGAAGGAAAAGGGGGGGGCAACTCCTTGTTACATCCTTGATTATAATATATTACTTGTAACACCCCATGTGACATTATTTTCGTTATTTCTGTTAAGAACGTAGTGTCCTACTTCCTCCTTTCTTCTTTAAAGTCATGGCCACCCCGTTTTAATTCTAATAGCTTATTTATCCATCCACAACAGGCCAGAGAATCCTTGCTTTTATAACAAAAATTAAAAAATGGAGCTTGAAGCAGCTACACAGCTATTTATTGAAAATGTGCTCCAAAGAGATGTTCTTTTAGGAAACCTCAAACAGTTCTGAACACCTGACTCTGAATTTGATACCTAGGGTTTTAAACTTACACAGACGATTGTCTCCAGAAATAGTGTAGGTTTATTACTTTGTCCAGTGGTAGATTCCTATAGAACTTGGATTTTCAGTTTACTGCTCCTGTGAACAACCAGCTGTGAAGAGTTCAGTTGTGGTGATGTTCTGTTGGGGCTCCATGATTCATGACTCACTGGATTCCGGCCTGCTTCAGATGGGCTGCATTTGGTTTTAATCACTTGCAGAAACAGCTCTGAGTTTAGACTTTAGGGCGTTGGGTCTACTTCAGACAGCCACTTCCCAGGAGTTGTTATTTCCCTTAATCTTTCCCATCTTGACCAGGTCACTTCTCCAGTGGTTGATTCCCAGAATGCATTAGCAGGGGTGTAAGAACAGGGGGGGGGGAGTGTAGCCCTCAATATTTAATTTGCCTTAAATTATTAATTTATCAAACTCTCTCTTACACCATTGCATTAGCAGACTAAATAGAAATGCCACCTCAATAATATCTCCACAAGATTATTAATTTTAGGATTAATTTTAAGATTATTGTTAGGGTTAATCTCCCCCCTTCATTTCCCTTAACCTGTCAATCCATCAGCTTTAATGCATGCAGATTGAAGGGTACAGTTTGGGGTGGGCTGGGGGGCAGGGCGGGGGTATAACTTCTACACCTCCGCAGGGACTGCAGGCTAAATCTGGACCTTTGTTGGATTTAATGACCGTAAGACCTTTTTTCCACAAATAGCTAGCAAACTGACTGCTACAACTGATTAGCATTTTAATTTAAAGACTATGTGACAACACTTCTGTGTTCTGGCGGCAGTCCTGCTCCCAGCAGCTGAGCGTTGTCTGTGTGTTTTTCCCCCAGTGATGCAAGATGAGTTCGATGAGTCAGCGTCACACCTGTGGGAAGGATGAATGGCGGGTGTGTCTCTGCACTGCAGCTTACCTTGGTCAGGATGGGCACCCAGGCAGAGAGGAGCACATTCACCTATGCTCTAGGTCTCAACATTTTCTAAATAGCCTTAATAATCTTTGGTGTGACATAGCAATATCTGGCCTTAAAAAATATGGAAAAAGGAGAAGAAGTAAGGATTAGCTTAGGTTAATATGAAACCACCTCAGCCTCAGGGTTAATGTAGAAATCATATCAAATTTGTCCATTATATTTATTTGCTTATGTGTGTTAATTCGCAGTATAGTCATAAATTGTGCTATGTACCCTTGTAATCAAGGAAATGAGATTTTGAGGCACTAGAGGAACGAACTTCAACCCAAATGCTGGGGGCTATGCTTTCTGCAAAATTCCAAACATTGGCCCTTTGAGCTTTCAATCAGTGTTGTACTCAAGTCCACCTTAGTCAAGTTCAACTCAAGACTACACTTAACAAACTGAGCCTGAGTCAAGAACAAGCCCAATAGTGGGAAGAATCTGAGATGAGACTGAATCCGTTATAGAACCTAGGTAGGCAAGTGAGAATATACTCCAAGTCTGGAAAAACACAAGCTCAATTCAGAATGCAGAAACTATAAAGAAACTATAAAGAGAAATCTAAAGAAATATTGCTTTTTTTCTATTTAAATTATTTGTTTATTTTAATTGACCACCAACAAAGAAGTCATTCTTTTCAACTAAGCAATAAGGTAACACCTCCATTGCATCCAGCAGAAATAATCCATTGTATTGTAACATGACTGTATCCTGATACATAAATTAAAAGAATAAGCATAAAATAACACAAACTTTAATTTAAAGGCTTTTTAAACAAAGTTTTTATTCAAGATTTTGTCATTTTGTGTGCACACACAATGTTCAGTGGCATATCTGCCGTGTAACACACTATGCATGATTTTCATGATATCACACTACAATCACGACATATTGCTCTTGAGAAATCAATTTTCCATTAGAAATAATGGAAACTCAGATGATTCCTTCCACAACCCAAAAATATTCATATAAAATGATTAATACGAAAAATAAAGTAAAAATACATAAAACAAATTAACCTGCACTTTACCTTTGAAAAGAATCGTGGACGGTGTGAGGGAGACGAGAGAGGAGAAGAGCATAGTTATTTTGTAGGACGACTTTCACTATAACTAACGGAATCACTGCTGTCTGTTGGCTCACTGGAATCTTTTTCTTTTTGTGCGACTTTAACAAGGAACCTATCCAATGACAGCTGCTTTTGCCTCCTCGATTCCACGGAAATGTGGACATTGCATTGTTGTTAAACAGATTCATCGCTTGTACTGCTACGCCCTTATTCAGGTGGTGCTTTTCTACTGAATTTTGACGATACGAGTGAGGCACGCCGACTTAGACCGAGCATGGGAGACGATTACCCACAATCCCGCAGCGAGAGAGAGAGAAGAACCATTGGGTCAGTTGTGATCACGTGACGCTCGGCAGACAAAGCATATACGTCAGGGTTATTCAACTCACGGTCCTCGAGGTCCGAGCACTGCTGGTTTTCCAGCCTTCCTTTACCTGTCAGTCAGGTGTGAAGCCTCTGACCAATCAGAATCAGTAATTATTAAACAACTATACCTGGGGGAACTGAAAACAAGGCCTGGATTTGGAATCGAGGTCCAGAGTTGAAGAACCCTGGTATACGTAATACTTGTATTGCAAGACCTCACTCGTTCATAAAGTTAAAATTTCTTTAAAAAAAAATTCTCGTCTTGCAAAACACTCGCAAACCAAGTTACTCACAATCTGAGGTTTTACTGTGTGGCAGATTATAGAGCCACCTGAAAATGTTACTCAATATGTTGCAAATTTTTTTTTAATTGTCTTTGTAAAAAACACTATTACTGCTTCATCGATAAGCACACTGCAATTCCAGCCAACATTACAGTGTCATTAAACATACATGAAATAGTCACTCATACTCTAATACAGGAGGCCCTAACTATTTTTCCCTGAGGGCCAAATTCCATCAGCAAAACAAAGCCAAGGTCCACCGCATGTGAAATATGTTGATGACCAGGGATGGGCTGGGGTATTCCCAACAATAATATCTGCTGACCTGGGTTGGGATGCCCCCCCAATGACAAAATATCAGTTTCAGAGTCAGGACTGATATTAATATAGGAAGGTTTGACTTGCAGTTCACTATAATGGATAGTTTGAACTCCCAGATTGTGTGTGTGTGTGTGTGTATGTGAGTGTGTGTTTGTGAGTGGTCCAGGTATACCTTACATTGTGGGGACTAAATGTAGTTAGCATTATTATTTTTCCCATAGAAATGAATGAGCGGTCCCCACAAAGATATTATTACAGGTGTGTGTGTGTGAGAGAGAGAGAGAGAGAGAGAGAATATTTTGAGAAGACTTTTTTGTATTGAATTACAGGTATCCATCGACTTACGTCCGGGTTTTGTGCCCAGAAATGAGGACATAAGTCAATCTGGACGAATCGCGATCATCATAGGGGAGTTAATTCTTGTTTAACATAAGATACGATATCACACACTAACTAAAGCTCTGTACTGACAGGGTAGCTCCTTTGTTTTGGTTCTTGCTGTATGCCGCACACGTTGCAAGATCCGTCCCCTAAGGTGCAGCACGTCTGCTTCGGAAGTCTCTCGTTAAATTTCACTAAGGCACTTGCGAGTCATATGCACGATCGGATGTTACTCGATCAGACGTAAGTCGACGGATGACTGTAGTTATATTATTTCTCTCTTGCTTCTGTTCTGGGATGTTTTCTATTTCTACGTGTGGAATTAATGTTTAACAAACATGGAATATAACGTTTCATATTTTGAACACAATTTACGATGCTTGCATATATTCACATTTTTTTATTATAATGTTATATTTGAAAGAATCTATGACGTGCATAAGCATCACAGATATATACATGAATGTATCAATGAACTGAGAAATAACATTTTTGAGAAAATGTGAACACTATAAAGACTATACGCACTGACGAATTGGGTGGTCCCCAGATATATTTCCGAAATTGTTTTGATCTTCTATAATTCACAGAATGTATAACAAAAATACACCATATGCAACCATAACATTAAGATGTATATCCGCAATTAATTATGGGTATTTTTTCTTCTCTCTGATTATGAATTTGCTTTCCATTTTCTACCTTACAAATATATTTCGCACTGAGATAAACAAAACACACACGCTAATTGTAACACTGTGAAAGTGAGCAGAAAAGGATAAGTTACGCTATCATTTGGAAACGATGATTTGTGTATTCTGTGTAATATCTTTTAGTTCATAAGCTTCCCCCTACCTTTTCCGCCATCTTGATTAGTTTCTTCTTCACTTTCTGTTAAAAGTAAACGTTTCTTTCTGCGAAATTCAGTAATTGTTACGTTTCGCTCTCAGAGCTCCATTACAAACTTTAGAACCATCGGCTCAGTTGTGATTATATGACACTATAGGCAGACAAAACGTATAGGCCTACATCAGTGGTTCCCAACCTTTTTTAACTCACGGCCCACACAGCCAAACACATGTTTCCGCGGCCCACTGCAAAAGAATTTAAACGATCCCGCTTTTTGTGTCGGGTTAACTAAGTACTCGGAAGCAAGGCTGTTAATTGTCTTTACTGAATAAACTGGTAATGTATTGAATAAACAGAAAATATACATAACGGATCAGCAAGCCCCCACAGGCTCGGGTTGACATTTCGAAAACAGGAAAACGAAGGCAGAGGTCGGCAGCGGGTAGAACGTCAGCGAGCCGAAGAGCCGTCAGAGGGAACAGGCAGAGCTGGGTTGAAACGAGCAGTCAAAACCGGCAGTGAAATGGAGCACTGGACAAAGCAAGACTAGAGTCAGACTCGAGTGACAAGCGCAAATCGAGAGCAGGCACAAAAAAAAAAAATTATAATAATAAAAAAAGACACATTAAAGGGAAATAATGGATTATTTCAGGCTTACTTGTTGCTGAAGAAACGTCTTTATTTTTATTTTTCAGCGATCCTGTTGTCAACCATTTATCCATTTTTAAATCTGCTTCAGCATGTATGAATCAAAACTATTTTAGATAGTCTAAGTTGGCGGGTTGTTATTAAACCAATCAGCGAGCTCGAATAGTGAACGCATAGTAACAGTTTATTATTTAATTTCTCATTATTTAATTATATATCAAATTATGATTTATTTGATTTTGACTAGACATTTTTTATTATATTAACAAGCCGTTTTATAGATGGCTAGCACGGTCAACACGTACTGCGTCCAGGGATTATATTCTGTGACGTTATAATACGATTTACTTTCTTAATGCTACTATATAATTAACGATTTGCATGCTGGGATATGTGATTGTGAAGGTTTTGGGAATATATGCCTTTATGTGTGTGCGTGTGTGTGTGGGGGTATGTAGAGAATATAGATATGTAATGAATCTCACTATACGTACACCTTAACCAGTACTGGGTCGTGGTAATCAATGAACTTCTAAATACAGGACATTACAGGAGGACACACTGGATTGGATGATCTCACCATATTAATATATGAAATTATCAACAATGTAGAATGCAACACGTATTAATAACGGAAACAATGGGAATAAAGTAAAGCCAGATTTCTATTAACATAACACATTTCGGAGCATACTTTCTACAAATATATGACGTAATCAAAGGTAAACAGAGCTCAGATTCTTGTGTCCTTCCCTGCCGGATACATCTGCACGAAAGTTTTCTGTCACTGGGATCGTGACCAAATTCAATTTTCTGATATCAGCAAGAGCAGCTGGCCGCTGCTATAGCTCATAGTGACCAGCAGAGGGGGGCAGAAAATGTGTTAACTGTGCCTTTTCCCTAAGTTCTGCTGCCCTTAAATGAACCCACTAAAAGACAGAATAAACCCCTGCTCACTTTTTAATCAGTTATGAATGTTTCCAGCTACGTTAAGGCCTATTACTACATTCCACAAACATGAATAGCTTGGATCCATAGGCCACGAAGAACTGTAACACTGAACCAGATCGTTGTCTAATGGAAATATCATACAAAGATCAATTGTTCATAAGTAGCATTGTGCAACTCTCCACATAGATTGCTGTGAAGGCCTGCTAAAATATTCAGACTGGAAATAGGCAACTGTCAGGATCTGAGCCTACTGTGTCCACCAGGTTCTCATTTGGCCAACAGATGTTGCTGGTCATCCTGTTTTCTTAACAATTCTGTCCCAATGTGGTAATTAACCACAATGGTTAATGGTTTGCACCTGTCCATTGTTTCAGTCTTGTTATCTGTATATATAAGCACGTACCCTTGCCCTGGTCCTCAGCTGGTCATTGTGAGTATGGCATTAGTCTTTCTGTTTGGTGTACCTGATTTCCTCATTTTCAGTGTTTATTTGTTCCTGTTTGCCCTGCCCCACCCTGTGTTCAGATTAGCTCTGCTCCATCGTGTTTCTCCAGCCTACCTCCCTTTGTTTTGACCCCACACGGTCCTTTTGTTTCTTGTAATATTTGTCCGTAATAAAGTTTCTCTATTATTGTAAAGCCGCTCTCTGGATCGTCTCTCCTTCTCCCAGTTCCAGTAACTTATTAAAATA